TTATTATTATTATTATTATTATTATTATTATTATTATTATTATTATTATTATTATTATTATTATTATTATTATTATTATTATTATCCAAGAAGCTTCTTCAGCTCTAACCGGATGGCGGGGAATGGAAGGATTTATATCCCTTGCAGACAGCTGGTCATTTGCATTCTTTTAGAGAGCCCTTGAGGCCACTTGTGAGGTTTAACTGTGACCTCAGGGTCACCTGGGTAGTGCAAATGGGTGTGGAGCCTTCTTGGAACTGTTAAAAGGACTGTATTGTAGACTAGAGATAGACGATATTGTATCCCTCCACGAAGGCTCCACATCCAGTTGCACTACTCAGGTGACCCAGACAACACAGATAAACCTCCAGGTGGCATCCACGATTCTCTAAAAGAATGCAAATGACCGGCTGTCTGCAAGGAGTATAAATCCTTCCATTCTCCACCATGCAGTCAGAGCCGAAGAAGCTTCTTGGATGAGAAGCGAAACGTCTTCAAAGAAAAACAAGAAAGTCTAGTTGCCTCCTGAAAAAGCATCTTTGGGATAATTATGACCTGGATTACTGAGAATCTCCATAGACATTGATAAGTTACACAGTCGTGAAGCGTGACGTCTCATGACTGTGTTGATTAGCAATGGAAATTCTAGCAGTCTCAATTGCTGTCGTTAAGTTGTTAAGCGAGGACATATTGCAACTGCGACTTCCGGTTTCCTGTCGGCCTCCCCATTGTCTTTGCTTGTTGGAAGCCAGGTGGAAATTGTAACCATGTGACCGCAGCTCACTGCAATGTGGTAATTGCGAGTTCGGCACCAAGAGCCTGAATCACAATCACATTGCCGTGGGGAACGCTGTAATTGCTGAAAGGAGGATGTAAGTCCACCTCCTTCAGCATCGTCACAAGTTTGAATGGTTGCTAAACGACTGATCACAACCTGAGATTCACCTGTAATTCAGATAATTAAAGTTTCAGACAGGAAGGCGGTGCAGAGAGTGGTGAGGACAGCCGAAAAGATCATTGGCAGTTCCCTCCCTCCCATCCAGAACGTGGCACAGAAGCGCTGCTTGAGCAGGGTCCGTAAGATTATCTGGGATATTACACATCCTCTTCACAGCCTGTTTTCCTTGTTACCTTCTGGGAGGAGGGGGCTTTGTGGTATCCGAAGCAGAACATCCAGATTCAGCCATAGTTTCATTCCATACAGCATTAACCTTGCGAACTCTCAAGCTTCCTCCTTCCATTATATATTCAAGATGGACAATATTTAATATTTATTTGCTACGTATATGTAGGGGTGTGGGTCTATACATATGTTGTATATAGTATGTTTTAGGTGTGTGTCATGTATGTGTTTCACTTTGAGAACTGGCAACTAAATTTCATTTTTGATGAGGTTATCTTATCTTATCTTATCTTATCTTATCTTAGCTTATCTTAGCTTAGCTTAGCTTAGCTTATTCTTATTCTTATTCTTATCTTATCTTATCTTATCTTATCTTATCTTATCTTATCTTATCTTATCATAATCTTATCTTATCCCTCCAACTGAGTTCAAGTCCTGGTGACTTTAGGGATGTGTCCATGTCTTCTTGATAGTAGGTGGGAATGGCCTTGGAACAATGGACCAAGAAGTGCTGCCTAGGGCAGGGGTGTCCAACCTTGGTAATTTTAAGACTCATGGACTTCAATTCCCAGAAATCCCCAGTGAGTCATGCTGGCTGAAGAATTCTGGCAGTTGAAGTCCACAAGTCTTAAAGTTGACAAGGTTGGACATAATCAAATAAGAGACAGCAAAGCCCACAGCTGGGTAGTGGGTGGCGCAAGAGGCTCAGAAGAGACCCTCACTCGCAACCTAAAATTTTCTAATTCCTGTCTGGCCTTAGCTAGGATTGTGGCTATATTGCCCCCTTGTGGGTTTCTAAAAATATTGCACCAGGCCTGCAATTTCTTGTTCGTTTTCCATCAAGTAATAACCATTACAGGTACTCCAAACTTTCTGCTGCTAAGTAAGAGATTTGTTGAAGTGAGTTTTGCCCCATTTTACCACCTTCCTTGCCACAGTTGTTAAATGAATCACCGCAGTTGATAAGTTAGTAACACAGTTGTTAAAGTGAATCAGGCTTCAACCATTGACTTTGGCGGTCAAAAAGGGATCACATGACCTTGGGACACAGCAACGGTCCTAAGTAAGAGTCACTTGCCAAGAATCTGAATTTTGATCATGTGACCCTGGGGATGCTACAAAAGTCATAAGTCTGAAAAATGGTCATACAGCAAGTCATTTTTTTTCAGTGCTGTTGTAACTTTCAACAGTCATTAAATGAACTATTGTAAGTCGAGGACTACCTGTATTTTCCAGATCAGATATAAATTCATTCACTTCCAATGTTTCTACTCAGCTGGGCAGGCTGAGAGCGTGCAAAGTATATATTTTTTCCATTTAAAATTAACCACATTTGCAGTTTGACTCCCAAATCACAGCCATCCACATGGTTGGACTATTAAGTCGTATAATGCAATATCAACTGGAAAACATCTCTCTGGGGAAGGCAGAACCCAAATCATTTATTTAATAGTGGCAAAAATAAAACTACAATGAATGACTTAATATTTCTGGCATTTAAAGAAGAAAGTGAACCCTTTTTTCACTACCTCATTGCAAACACATTTTCAAAAAAAATCAGGGCCCGATGAAGTCGTCCCTCATGCAGGGTTTGTTTCCACCAACCTATTGTACTTCTACTTTTTGATGGTGGAAGAAAAATAGAAGAGGATTCAAAGATGCTTTAAAAGTTTCCCAGATTCAGATCTGAGCAACTTCCACTTGACAAGTCTCCAGTAAGCCTGATGGAAAGGACTCCTACTGTTTGAAGCTGATCTGGCTTAGATTAAGAAGGCTTCAAATCTTCTAATCCAGTGTTTCTCAACCTTGGTCATTTGAAGACATAATAGTAATAATGATAATGATGATGATGATGATGATGATGATGATGATGATGATGATAATAATAATAATAATAATAATAATAATAATAATAATAATAATAATAATAAGAAGAAGAAGAAGAAGAAGAAGAAGAAGAAGAAGAAGAAGAAGAAGAAGATGATGGAAGGGACCTTGGAGGTCATCTAGTCCAACCCCCTGCTCAGGCAGGAAACCCTATACCATTTCAGACAAATAGCTGTCCAGTCTCTTCTTAAAAACTTCCAGTGTTGGAGCATTCACAGCTCCTGGAGGCAGGTTGTTCCACTGGTTAATTGTTCTCACTGTCAGGAAGTTTCTCCTTAGTTCTAGGTTGCTTCTCTCCTTGATCAGTTTCCACCCATTGCTTCTTGTCCTGCCTTCAGGCGCTTTGAAGAATAGCTTGACTCCCTCTTCTTTGGGGCAGCCCCTGAGATATTGGAACACTGCTATCATGTCCCCCCCTCGGCCTTCTCTTCGTTAAACTAGACATACCCAATTCCAGCAACCGTTCCTTATATGTTTTAGCCTCCAGTCCCCTAATCATCTTTGTTGCTCTGCTCTGTACTCTTTCTAGAGTCTCAACATCTTTTTGACATCGTGGTGACCAAAACTGGATGCAGTATCCCAAGTGTGGCCTTACCAAGGCATTGTAAAGCGAACTTCAACTCCCAGGATTCCCCAGGAATAGCTGTTTTTAGATGTTGTGGGTGCTTCATCACTGGAGGTTCTAAGAACAGACTGGACAGCCATCTGTCTGAAATGGTATAGGGTCTCCTGCTTGGGCAGGGGGTTGGACTAGATGACCTCCATGGTCCC